AGCTTCAGAAGGGCAAATGCCTTCCTAACGCCGCTCCGAAGGGGTCATTGAAGGAAAATTGAGCCCGGAGGGCCATTCTGGCGACTTTGCTTCCGAATTGGGGTCATCGGAGGAATTAATTCGTTGTTGAATTGACCGGAGGCACATGCTTCTACTGCCACAGACTTAGGGGCGGCATTTGGGTCATCGACCTCACACTTTCCCTTCCAGCCGCCAACGCCGCTGCAGCTGATCCCTTCCTCGCCCTCAACCATCACCTTTCAGTGTCCATGCTACTACGCGATGGCTGGTTTCGAAAGACCTCCGCCAAACGTGTACGGTCAACCACTTGCGTATGGGGTCAACCAGAGGCGAACTCCCACCCCTTCTGCCCCTGTTACTCCCTATAGGTGTCTACGGTCACTCATCCCGGATTCGATCATGGTGTGGACACATACCACATATCTTCACCATGGGAAGTTATTCTGACACGCCAAGGAAACGTCATTGCTCAGTACAGTGATCTCCCGCAGGTGGGAGTGGCTCCAACCGTTGGCGACTCTCTCACGTGGGAGTTCCCTCATCGCCTCAGTCCAACGCCGAGCGGATTGCCCTCCGAGGCACGCCCCAGTTCTGGACTCGGAACTCGCGTGATCTTGAAGTTCTGGTGTCGTGGGATCTCCAAGTAGTTAAGCCCCTCTCTTCGTTGGGGGGGCCCGTCCCGCAAACTCAAGCGGTCACCACGTTCACCTATCGCATTATCTTCGGAACGGATGGCACGATTACCGATCAACTTCTTCCGAAGTCATCCCGCCCGATTGCTATCACGGAGGACATGGCCTGCTTTGCCGACAGGGATGGAGAACCCTGGACGCACGTAATCGATTTCGAGCAAAACTTAGAAGTACCTATTGCCGAAGATGCATTAGTACGCTGAACTTCCAGTTAGTCGAAATGAGTGCAAATGCCTAATAACTTTTTAGCATGGTACCGTCTTCGGCGCCTTCTTGGAGCCCTACTGCACCTTGATGTTATTTACTACGGAATGCGACGTTGTACGCATCTACCTGCTCCGCAAGAAACAGGGCGCAACTATCTCTTCGGAGAAGCACGACATCATGCAGCACAATTACCGAAGCGCGGCGCTTGAACCACCTGGTTCCCCAACGAGGCCCCTTGTGCTCCCACGGCTTGCGCCCGACGTCCAATATCGTGAAACTTGTATCCCTCACTGGGGTTGTGTCCTTACCCATCCTTTTTTAAAGTCGGTAGTGGCCATCAGGCGCGAACGCGATATCGAGCTCTTCGCCGTCATACCTGACCTGAAGCAGCGGCCGCACCGGCCGCTTGGGCTCACCTTGCCATCGGAGGAGGAGAAAGCATCAATGCGCTCTGTTTTTCACCCGACGGCCAGTTTTTGCTGTTTATCTGCCGCAGCCAGGATTCAGTCACCCGCACAAGCCTTCGCATGGCCAGACTACCTCCTCCACCATCTTTCTATCGGTGGGGGGGAGCCGCGTGTGGAGATCCGATTAATATTTGCGTGTCCCAACAGGCGCAAGGCGATATACTTCGTCACTGCAACTGCCTGGTTGCAGCCCCGTCTTCGGGTAACTCAGCTGTAGCCTCGGAGTATACGCTTTTTGTCGGACTCAAAGAGACGAAGTTGTGGCTGGAACTCCGCCTTAGTCAAGGCAAGGTCGACAATCCTATCTCTAGCTTGACAGTGCCGACGGGAATATCTGTGCGCGAAAGCGATTTGCCTCAAGATCCTGACGACGAAGGTCCGCTGGTGCGTGTTTGTCATCATCTGGATAGACTATTAAACTGATTGACGAAACTATGCTCGTCTCCCTAGCTGCGTCTCCAGGCACTGCAGGTGGCGGGTGGAGTCATTGAAATGCCTCGCTTCAGTACTCCACTGGAACTTAAGAACCTGCCTGTCCGTGCGACCGACCCGAAAGTACTATCGCTTAGAAGCTTGGGATTCTGGAACCGCCCCAAGGGTCTGGGCCTTGTGTTGAAGGAAGTTTTTGGTGTTTCGCAACCCATTCAACCCCTCGCGGTCGAAGCGGATGCTTTCCAAAATGCCTGGGTCTGTGCTCTTCCTACTCGATTGGGGGCGCGTTATGTTGCGATCTTGGAAAACATGGAACATCCGTCAAAGCCGTGGTTCTTTAGATATTCCGATGTTGCGGCTCATCAGGCCTGGGAACTTCTTTATGCGGACGATACAGTCCTGACCCCTTTCCTTTCCGAAAGGCAACTGTTCAAGGGCCCAATCTCGATGCTGTTGCGCGACTATCTGCGATAGCTGAAGATGTCGATGACCTTCGTTTTGCGGACGGCGACACACCGGAACGCCGATGGGCCGCAATTCGTCTGGGTTGTTGGAGCAATGATCATGCCGAGCCCACCACGGAGGAAAACGGAGATTAAGCCCTCGATCATGCGCCATCTCATCTAGCATCCTTTGAAAGAGCTGATTTGGTGACAGCTTTCTAATGGCATGGCGGATGCACTCGTCCATGCCTTGCGCTCTCATGGTCACCAGGAAGAAAGTGAAGTGGGGACTGTCCGACAAGCGTGGGCCGCCATCGCTGGTCATTGCATAACCCTGAGATCAGTATCAGTAGAGTGTGCGATAAAGAAGCTAACTCGGACTGTTCTATTGCTCGGGTCAATAAATTAAAGCCTTGAGGATAAGGGCGAGTCTAGCTCCTCTTGGGCACGGAAGGCACGGATGATTTCACCTAGTGTCTGCACATAATAATCAGGCAATTGTGTGATAAGATAGCATAGATCACTCACCGTAACATCATTAACTATCATCACCTAATGAAACCGTTGTTGCCCGAGCTGGCACGCGTGTGAAAAAGGGGCCGCGGAGCGCCGGCATTTCACTAAGCGCGTTTGGGCGTTTGATCACATCACGATAATATTGAAACGTAACATGTACAGTCCTTTCCTTCTATTCAGTGTTACTATCCTTGACAATCACTACCATTTCACGTTTGGTATCATTGTGTTTACATTACTTTATTGTCTACAACCGTGAGATATCACACACACAATCTGATCTAAGCAGAACCCGTCCGATACCGCTCGAAGAATCTACAGCTCCCAGAAGTCCGTCCAGGGGACCATCCTCCCTCCCATCTTCCCTCTTTCATCAGGGTTAAGGATGTACTCCCTGCCCTGGATGAGTCGTAGCTCTCTTGCCCGCATCCTCCTGACCCGCCTCTCCCCGTCTTGGCCGTCCAGTTCCTGATCCGTCTCGGGTCTCTCTTCCTCCGGAAGCGTCTGGACATAGTGATGCGTGCTGACGATTATACCTTGTACGCTCGCCACTGCCCTTGCTGTTGCTCGCGATAGGGGCGTATCCGGGGCCGGCGGTGGAGGGTCGGATCGTCCAGGGAAATGAGCAAGCACGAGTGCGCTGAATAGGTCTCCCACACCGGAAAAGTAGCCTTTGATCTGCTTCACACTCCCCACGTGGACTGTGCTCACCTTGCCGTCCTTACGCTCATCCTCAGGCAAGACAGAGGAGGAGACGACAAGCTGCACGTCGCCAAGGTACGGGGAGTGTTCAGGGAGCCCATTCGTCTGCGGGGCAAGGACGTGCGCTGGGAGTGAGGCGGCTAGCTCGGGAGTCGGTAGCACAGTACTGATCACTACATGCGGGACGCCGTGCAGTGTGTGCAGAATACGGAGTGCTTCCCGTAGCGTGGATTCAGACTCAAGCTTGACTCCTGTTAGCAACCTGCCTCAAGAGTCAACGCTGTCCCATCTCCACGGAAGGGAACGCACTCCGCCTCGAACCAATTGGGTGTGATGATAGTTGCACAGTCAAGAAGATCCTTATATATTGGTATGCACTCGGGAGCGACATAAATCTTGTTATCGTCCCCCATGACCGCTGTTCATCATCAGATCGATCATAAGACAACAAGATGGGACTCACGATCAAGCAAGTAGATCAACTCCGGGTTTCTGTCCCGCAGCTTGCGCGCAAGCTCAGCGACGACCATGAGTGCCGCCGCTCCAGGTACGTATCCTACATCCAGATCAGCGGTACTTCCTTATCCCTAACATCGAACACCGAACGCACCAGTCAACAGCCTCCCAGGTCTTAGCAGCCCATTCTCTTCCAACCCATGGAGGATGTTCGCCAGCTGGTCAGCGTCTGTACGCGTGCCTTTGAGCCTCCCGTAGCCGGAGTGGTTCGAGAATTGAACAGTGTTGATTACATCGACGTCGTAGCCCAACAACTGGAGGGGAAATGTGGCTGCACGGTTTCCTGGAACAAACGGTAAGTGAGTTATAAGAGGAAGATATGCGAAGACGACGAGGGCGTACCTACGTATCCGCTACAGACATGGGATTGAATACTGAGTACTCTGGTGTGGTCGTCCATCCCTCTGTCTAGTCCGTTCTAGTGTGAAAGCAAGCAAGTATAAGAAAAGGAAGTTCGAGTCCAGAGATACAGTCTATGCGTTCTATACACAGAAGTGGAGAAAGAGACTGGATCATGAAGAGCAAGACTCGACCAATGACCCTTAGCGTAACCTGTGTTGCATATTTTTCGGTCCGCGGCACATGCCGAATCGGCGGGGTAACAGGGATCACCGACTCTTCTAAATTCTACATTCTACATCTTCTTCATTTCCACTTTACATCGCTAATCTACACCCATCCTGCTTCTACATCCATTCGCACCCATCTAGATATGCACATCGCGCATCATAGCCTCAGGATACCTCGTTCCCGCTCTAGGGAAGCTATCTAAGATCTTCCTGATCTCCGCCAGCTCCTCAGGAGTGAAATGGACCTTCAAGCTATCTAGATTTTCTTCCAGCCGCTCGATACGTGTCGTGCCAGGGATAGCGAGGATACCGTCCCATTGAGCGTGGACCCAGGCGATGGCGAGTTGCGCAGAGGTAACGCCCTTTGCCGCTGCGAGCTTCGCGAGTTCTTCTACTAGCTCGACCTGTTCCAACATCAGATCAGTCTTGAGCGCGGACGGCAAAGACGCACATTCTTCGGGAAGTTCTCCTCGCTGAACCTCGGGTGTTTCCACCTATTATCATCCGGCGTCAAGTCCTTCCTGCTCCTTACGCTTCCGCTGATCAGCCCCCTCCCCAGGGGCGAATAAGCGACGAAAGCTACTCCGAGCTCCTTGCACGCATCGAAAAGCCCGTTGGTCTCTGGACTTGTCTCCCAAAGCGAGTACTCGACCTGCAGCGCGTCGACTTTGACCACGGCGCAGGCGCGCCGCAACGTAGCGGCGGAACACTCAGACAGACCGATGTACCGGATCTTCCCTGCTGATTGGAGCTCTTTCATGGCCTGCATCGTGTCCTCGATAGGGGTGTTCTTGTCCACACGATGTTGGTAGTACAGGTCTGGAGGGACTGTGAGTCATGGCTGACGGTATAAAATAGGGCAGTCCGCACCGATGTAGTCTGTCCCCAGCGCCTTGAGCGACCGATCACACGCTTCCTTCACATACTCCGGCGTTCCGACAATGACTCGAGATCCGTCTTCCCTCTGCCAGTTCCCGAACTTAGTTGCTTCACCAAGGGTTGAGTAGCCCTTCGAACGAGAGGGAGGAGATATCTACCAAGGAAGATGTCTTTACGCGGGATGTTGCACTCTTTCATAACCTGGCTGATAAGCTCCTCGTTCTCCCACATGCGCTTATCTCCGTAGATATCTGCCTGCCGCTCATGTGAGCCTCAAAACCTGCAAGAAGACAGAGCACACACCGTATCCCAGAAACGGCAGCCCTTCTCCCAAGCGGCTTTGAGCGTGGCGATGTTCCGCTCTGTATCGCCGAATCCGGCGTACCAACCGGACATGCCCATCGTGCCCAGCCCGGGGTAGGGAACGTCGTCCTTTCCAATCTTGCGCGTGGGAAGAGACATGATGTGTGCACTATGGTACGTGTTCCGGGTTTGCGAAGGGAAGTGGATGATCTGGGAAAGGTTGTCAGACGTGTTCGTCGGTCGCGGGGGATTATATAGCCATCATATTGCTACGTGGGTTGTTCGGGTGTCGGTGAGAGGGCGGCCCGCGCGATATAGGTGGAGGAAGCCTAAGAGATGTGCCACATGTGACAGTTCCAACATTCATCCAACAGCGCACTCTCTACTCCTGCAAAAGGACATACACTACCCCACAGTCAGGTGATTGTCATTGTCCGATATCTGCTGTTCCCCGTCTTGATTAAATGGGGTAAGGGGAGTTTCCGCATTAGGCTAAGGGACGGATGTGATGCACAGCCTCATGCCGTGATGAATGGGTGGCTGCCTCGTGGATATCCTGTGGCTTGGGCTCGGCATGTGTGACAGGAATGTAGGAAAGGACTGACAGATTCTGGGATGCTCCTCGAGCTCTTACACATAAACTACACATAATTGCTTACCCCTTGTTACCCGCGTTTCAATATTACAATCGTACGAGAAGCTGCGCTTTGATCTTCGGTAAGTGAATACCACCAGCATGACCGTAGACAATTCAACATGGAACTTCATAGTATCTCTCCGCAGTACAACACTAAACACGACAGCCACCCCGACTCTCTTGCACGGCTTATAACAACGTTCGCTTTCTTGATGAACTGGTAGCAATAGCAAGGCCTATGTTTACCGCATGTCTACTCCTCTGCCTCTGTCTTTCTCTTACTGCAACCGCCTCACCAGCTCAACGTCGACAATCACCTGCACAGGGACTGCATGTTCCACTATCTCGTGTTCCATCTGCACGGTACTCCGATGACCCGGACGCACAGGCAGCATGGGCAAGAGGGGTCGCCAATCGCGCTGCAGCCAAGTACGGTCCCGTCCCCATCTCCGGCACGCCGGGCACAACTACCAGCGGACCAACCTCCTCCGGTGTTGCCGCAGCAACGGTCAGTCAGCTTCCGCTCACGAACGCGAACCACGACGGGTCGTACTATGCTCTTCTCGGTCTAGGAACTCCACCAACCCCGCTCAACGTGTTGCTCGACACCGGCAGCGCAGATTTCTGGGTTGCCGGCACGGGATGCTCGAACCCCGGCAGTGGGTGTATGAGCCTGTCTACGTGGAATCCGAGCACAAGCGAAACGTTTGTGAATGCGAGTGTGAACTTTGGGGTAGGGTACGGGAGTGGGAGTGCCAAGGGAGTTCTGGGATGGGACACGGTAGAGCTGGGAGGGTTCGAGGTGGTGCACCAGCCAGTTGGTTAGCACCCTTTTCTGCTGTTTCGAATAGTATCACTCATGGGATATAAAAGGTGTTTGCGACCACGTCTCTCCGGGACTTGTCACTAATCCCCTCTCCGGCCTTATGGGCCTCGGTTTCCAGCCTCTTTCCGTCTCCGGTGCTACCCCGTTCTGGGAAGTGCTCGTCCAATCAGGCGACTGGTCCTCCCCAGTGATGGGTTTCTTCCTCACGCGATTTATCAACAGCTCTTCGCCTGCCATACTCCAGCCAGGAGGGTCGTTCACCATGGGTTTCGTGGATACAACCCTCTTCACTGGCGCGATCGACTGGGCTGGCATCCCTCCTGGGCGTGAGGGGTATTGGCTACTCGAGCTCACCACGCTCTCCGTCTTCGGTAGTTCAATTGCCCTCTCCGCCAGCTCATCAGATAACTTCGCCGTGATGGATACGGGGACTACACTGCTCCTCGTTCCACCCCAAGCGCTGAAGGAGATCTTCGCTCTCGTCCCCGGCTCCGCCCCTGCCACAGGCGCGTACGAGGGGTACTACCAGTACCCATGCGATACGAATCTCACCCTCTCCCTCACCTTTGCCGGCAACACCCGTGCATGGCCTATCTCCCCTACCGACCTCCAGCTCCTCCGCCTCTCCTCCTCGGAAAATACCTGCATCGCTGCTCTTTTCCCGTCTAACCTTGGTTCCGGCGCACCCCAGTGGGTAATAGGCGACACCTTCCTAAAGAACGTGTACAGCGTGTTCAGGTACGACCCGCCCAGCGTGGGGTTCGCCCAGCTGAGCCCTGCGGTGGGATGGCAAGACCAGCCGGAACCGATATCCGGCCAGGGACTGGAAGCTCCCCAAGCGACGGTGACTGCTCCAGCTGAGCGACTCTCAGGGGGTGAGAGAGGACTGCCCAGGGTGACAGCTTACGGTCTTGTACTGTCGGCTGTGGTGTGCTTATTGGCGGGCGGATGGCTGATTTGACGATTTTCTTCATCACTCATATATCATCTCTTCTACTCACGCTCACGCTCTCTCGGCTGGCATTTAGTTTTTGCTTCACGCACATTTGGTCATGACGCGCATTTTCCACAATTTGTAGAATAGCACATAATTACAAGGAGTCATCCGTCGGAACGCGTCCGGAACAGCGGAGCCGAGGGTAATGTAGCACGCGTCGCGACGCGTAGAGTAGCTCCTGCATTCCTTGCGCGTCCACCTTGTTAACAACACCAAATGGTCAGTGTACTGCATGTTGATAGTGTTATCATTACTGATACACCACAGTCGTCTTCTCCAGCTGCACCGCGGCGCGCTCCCAAGCGTCCCCGCTCACCGGTCCATTTCTCGTCGCCCGCGAACACCCAGCGTCCGCCCTCCCGCAGCTCCCTCCCTCCCTCCTCCCCTCCCGCTCCTTTTCTCACAGATGACAGTGATGGAGAAGCGTTACAGTACGAGTCTGACGAGCCTGTCGCCCAACCGGACGTGTTAGATGAGGACTCCGAAGGAGAGGACCTCATGGCTGCCGATCTCCTTGCCCAGGACTATAACGATGGCGACCTGTTTGACGGGTACGATGAGAGAGATATCGATGACGCTGAATATGAGGCTATGAATGTGGGAGAAAGGAGGGCTGCGGAGGCGGCGATGAATAGGCGTGATAGGGCCGAAAGGGGCCTGGCTAGGAGGCCCAGGAGGGCTCCGGGGTTCTTACCCAGTGACGATGAGGATGAAGAGGATAGAGGCCCGCTGGAGGGGATGGTTAGGAGGACAAGGAGACAGTACGATGAGAGGAGGATGATGGATGATGCTGAGGGGGTGGATGACGTTAGCCTCCTTCACCTGTTTTCCGAGTGGATGCTGATGAGGATCTAGACCATCCCTCTGGAAGATCTGGGAGATATCAAGGCTGACACGATCGCGGAGTGGGTCAGCTTGCCCAACGTGGGCAAGGCAGTCACACAGCAGTTCCGTGCTTTCCTCACTGGCCACACCGATGGTGGTATGGAAAGTGTCTACGGCGCCAAGATCACGCGTCTTGCTGAGCGTTCGTGCTTCACCCTATCCTGAGGGCAATGCACTAACCCACACGAACAGAAAATCTGGAATCTCTAGAAGTGTCCTTCAAGGATCTGGCGGACTACAAGCCCATTTTGGCGTACTTCCTCGCTAATTGTCCCGCCCCTATGCTGGCCTACTTTGATGAAGTTGCCATGCAATCCGTACTTGCGTTCTACCCTGCGTACGAGCGGATCCACGCCGAGCTCCACGTGCGGATCACCGACCTGCCAACTTCCTGCACTCTGCGCGATCTGAGGCAGAGCAACCTTAACTGCCTAGTGCGCGTCAGCGGTGTCGTAACCCGAAGGAGCGGCGTCTTCCCCCAGCTGAAATATGTCAAATTTGACTGCAAGAAGTGTGGGGAGACGTTGGGTCCATTCTATCAGGACGCGAGCAAGGAGATCAAGATCAGCTACTGCCCGAACTGCGAGGGCAGGGGCCCGTTCACGATCAATACGGAGCAGGTACGAAACATCGCTAGTGTCATGAGAACGTGCTGACTGTTGCTTGTTAGACGGTATACAGGAACTATCAGAAGATGACCCTCCAGGAGTCGCCTGGCTCGGTGCCTGCAGGTCGCTTGCCGCGGCACAGAGAGGTCATCTTGCTTTGGGACCTCATCGACTCTGCAAAGCCTGGGGAGGAGATCGTACGTATCCCGTGCTACTCATTGATTTCCTTCTCATTGAGATTGTAGGAAGTAACGGGTATCTACCGTAACAACTTTGATGCCTCGCTCAACGCCAGGAACGGATTTCCCGTATTTTCTACAGTTATCGAGGCAAATCATATCAACAAGAAGGAAGATCTGTTCGCCGCTTTCCGTCTTACAGAGGAAGATGAGCGCAAGATCGTGCAGCTGTCGCGCGACCCCCGTATCCGCAAGCGTATCATCAAGTCCATTGCGCCCTCCATCTTCGGACACGACGACATCAAGGCCGCCATCGCGCTGTCCCTTTTCAGTGGGGTACCCAAGGACGTCAAAGGCAAGCATCGTATTCGTGGAGACATCAACGTGCTTCTGCTGGGTGACCCGGGTACCGCCAAGTCCCAGTTCCTCAAATACGTGGAGAAGACCGCGTATCGTGCGGTGTTCACCACCGGCCAGGGCGCTTCTGCAGTCGGTCTCACTGCAAGCGTACGCAAAGACCCAGCAACGCGAGAATGGACACTTGAAGGCGGCGCCCTCGTGCTCGCTGATAAGGGGGTGTGTCTGATCGACGAGTTTGACAAGATGAACGACTCGGACCGGACGTCTATCCACGAGGCCATGGAGCAGCAGTCGATTTCCCTCTCCAAGGCGGGCATTGTCACCACCCTCCAAGCCCGCTGCGCCATCGTAGCTGCTGCGAACCCCATTAGAGGGAGATACAACCCTACCATCCCTTTCCAGCAGAATGTCGAGCTTACGGAACCGATTATTTCCCGATTTGACGTGCTCTGCGTGGTTAAGGACACCGTCGATCCGGTGAAGGATGAGCTGCTCGCCAAATTCGTTGTGGATAGCCATATTAGGAGCCATCCGACGTTCAAGGCCGCTGCGGCAGAAGACGAGATGGACGGGGCTGACAATGCCGGTGTCAAGTTCCAGCAGAAGATGCACGAGATGGATGCGGATGTAAGTCTTCAAGTCTGCTTTCGACTGTTGCTGAACTTGTGGCAGATCATTCCCCAGGATATGCTGCGCAAGTACATCATGTATGCCAAGGAGCGCGTCAAGCCCAAACTGCAGGATATGGACCAAGAGAAGCTCGCGCGTCTATATGCTGACCTACGTCGGGAGAGCGTCGCCACAGGCTCCATGCCGATCACAGTGCGGCACTTGGAGAGCTGTATCCGCATGGCCGAGGCGAGCGCGAAGATGCAGCTGCGGGAGTATGTCCGAGCGGACGATATCGATTTGTCTATCCAGGTTAGCGTGGGGAGCTTCGTAGAATGCCAGAAGATGAGCGTGAAGAAGACGCTTGAGCGGGTCAGTGTTCTTCTGCTTTCGATGGAGGTAGGCTGAGAGAAAACAGATGTTCCGCAAATACGTCCATCGTGCCAGAGATCATGAAGAGCTCTTGCATTTCCTGCTCGGGAACCTCATCAAGGAGAAAGTCAGGATCTACCAGGCAGCCCATCATACAGCTCCAACCAGCGTATCAGTCAAGATATCCGAACTGGAGGACTCCGTACGTCCTCTTCTTCGCACCCAGCTTCTTCTAACACGTCCTAGGCACGCGAACACGAGATATACGACGTCCAGGCGTACCTGCACTCAGCGGTGTTCCGCGCGAACGGGTACGAGATGGGCAAGAGCAGGGAGAAGAATGGGACTGAGCACCCGGCGGTGGTGAAGCATTTCGTAGATCCGGAACATAGAGAGCAAGGCCGGAGGGAGGGGAGTAGGGCCCCGTCTGATGGGGATTATGTGTTTGTGGAGCAGGGCGCGCAATAGTACATTAGTTGCGTTGTTGGGGTTGCAGGACATGTCTTCTCTTATTGTAATCAATCCGTTCTTGAATGCGTAGACGACGCATAAAGCGTAGAGTGCTTTTTGTTGAGCTGTCTCCCAATCGATCGTCAGTTCAAAACGACCGTTGTGCCCGGAGCCAGCTGTGACATCTCCGCTCGTCGCACCTCCTATCGGGCAGAGTGAAATCTCTCTCTTCCGGCGCGAGTTATTCTTAGATTTCTACATAAATTAAGTGTGTAAATAATCAATCTGACCAGATGTACAGCCGTTAATTATGTTGATTGTTAGTCTCGGGATGATGGCAGTGCTGTGATACGCGTTTCTCGGCGCCCCCGAGCCAATCAGGTGCGTGGCGTGGCAGAACCCCTAGAAACACGCGGTGCGGGCTTTTCTTCCTCCATTTCGCGTGTAGGCAACGCGCATGCATGCAAGCAAAATTCGCCTGGGAACGATTGAAATATTCAGCTGCAAAGGGCTGACGAGGAAGCGGAATATTGAATGGGTGTACCGAGACTAGGATTGGTTTGGTGTGTGTGGGAGGTGAGGAAGGCAGGGGACCGAGGGATGGGGCATATATGATGTGTTGGCGAGCGACCGACTGATGGGCGACGCAACCAACATACACCCATTCCACGGCCAGCACAAGGCCAAACAGTACAGCGGCGGCGACATCAAAACAAGAAGGGGCGACACACAGGATAAACAGTCAACGTTCTCTTCACCTTCCCACCTTTGTATATTCTGTTTCTGCTTCACTTTACGCTCCCTCCTGTGCGCATCACTACATCCCACTGATAGGGCGCTGGAACACCCAACTCACTCAACTGGGAGAGAAACGAACATAAACGACTGCTTGCCCTTCAACAGCTTTCCCAACCGCTCCTTTAATCATGCGTATCTCCCTCTTCTCATACGCTCTCCTTGCCTCGACAGCACTCGCAGTCCCCTGCTGCACCCTGCGCAAGAAGGGCTCTCTACGTCCCTCTCCTCCTGGAGATGCTTCCCCAGCCTCTTCATCCTCCGCTTCATCTGCATCTGCATCTCCCGCTTCATCAGCATCAGCATCCCCCGCTCCCTCTCCCGCCAACACGACTTCTACGCCCTCGAGGCATAGCGGATTCGCGTATGGCTCTACCCCGGTCCGAGGGGTCAATCTTGGCGGTTGGCTGGTGCTCGGTATGTCGTCTTCATCTCATGCCTACACCTGCTGACAGAAAGCAGAACCATGGATCACCCCGAGCATATTCGACAACACGGGAAACGACGGGATCGTCGATGAGTGGACGCTAGGCCAGTACAGCGACTACGACACTGCGCTTAACACTCTGCGGAATCACTGGAGTTCTTGGATCACAAAGAGTGATATGCAGCAGATCGCCGCTGCGGGGCTGAACCACGTGCGGATACCCATAGGTGCGCCCTCTCCCCCCTTCCCGTGTCCCAGGAGCTGACTAAGACAACGCAGGTTTCTGGGCATTCGACAACTCCGGAACACCGTATATCATGGACCAGCAGTATTCGTACCTCAAACAAGCAGTCCAATGGGCATCAGCAAGCGGCATCTCCGTCTGGGTAGACCTGCACGGTGTCCCCGGCTCCCAAAACGGGTACGACAATTCCGGCCAGCGGGGGACGCCGACCTGGCACACCGAGCAGAGCAACGTCCAGCGGAGTCAGGCGATCATCCAGACGCTGGCGAACGAGTTCTCCCAGGGACAGTATGGCGGTGCGGTCACTGCGATTGAGCTGGTCAACGAACCTGCTGGGTATTATAGCGAGGACCTCCTGACGTGCGCGAGGAACTATTATGGCAGTACGTACACTACTGTGCGCAATGCTGGGAACCTTGTGGTAGTGCTGCATGATGCGTTCCAGTCTCTGGATTACTGGAACGGGTTCCTCACCTCTAACACGGGCGCGTCTAACGTGCTGATGGACACGGTGCGTCCTCTCACCCGCTTCCCAAATCATACCTGACAGCAGAACAGCATATCTACCAAGTGTTCAACACCGACCAGCTGCAAGAATCCTGGCAAGGGCATATCAACGACGCCTGCTCCAACGGCGCGCGCCTCGCTTCCTTCGCCGAGCAAAACCTGTGGACCGTCGTCGGGGAATGGTCTACCGCCAGCACGGACTGCGCTGTGAACCTGAACGGGCGGGGTGTTGGCGCGCGGTACGACGGCACCTACCCCGGTAGCAGCTATATTGGCAACTGTTATGGACAGACCGGGGACCAGAGCACCTTCTCCGCGGATTATAAGACGTTCTTGAGGCAGTTCTGGGAGGCCCAGGTCACGGCTTACGAGCAGGCTCAGGGGTGGATATACTGGTGCTGGAAGGTAGGATCATCATACTTTCGAGTGTGAGCAATGGCTAACTACGGTCTAGAACGAACAGGCAGACGACTGGTCATATCAGAAAGGAGTGCAAAACGGGTGGATCCCCTCAAACCCCAATAATCGTCAATACCCGAATATATGCGGCTGAGCTGCATCTCCCCACTCCTGCCCCTTCCTTCCTTTCCCTTCTGCAGTCCCGTTCGCTTCCATCTTCCATCTCAGCATCGTCACGACCCCTCGCCTTCTGCAATCACGCATAATCACCACGCAACACTCACGCACGTCATATTTAATCGTCTATGCTATCCGGGCCCAGTCATCCCATTTCCTTCCTTCCTTCTTGTGCATGTTAGACCTGCGCATCCGGGTGGTGCTCTCCCGTCCCCTTTTTTCCTTTGTCCTTCTCCCTTTGTCCTTCTCCCTTTCCTCCTCCCATTTCCCCTCTGTTGGTACCGCTCCGGTGCTAATCAGGGGTTGTACATACACCGGACTCCCTCCTTCCCTTCACCACAGGTACATAGTGTCCTTGTCCTTGTTCACTCCGACCCACTTCTGGTCTCTATTTGTCCTTTGTCCTTTGTTTTCCTCTTCGTCGTTGGCGATCAGGTAGATTAGTCCGAGCGTTTGTTTGTTCCATGGAGATGTATTATCATGTGTCGGAAATATATTGGTATTGTACACACACATGCGAGGACAGGCAGCATACAACATATAGCATAGGGGCATAGATCTACACGGTCTAGGCCGGGTGCAACACAGCGGTGAGAGAACTGCATACACAGGGACAAGCCTGCAAACTATAGACGGTCACATAGTAGACGTACTCAAGGGTATTTCTGGGCGTGCGCATCACGGAGAGTCCTGATGCTCTGTCTAGTCGGACCTGAGATCCTAGTGTCAAGACCAGAGGTCAGAGGTCAGAGGTCAGAGGTCAGGGTGGGAAGTCGAGGTAGAGTCTTGTCCCAGAATCCAAGCACGAGCTAGTGAGACCTCGCCAGAGGGAGACATCCGATTACGCATGTCTTGAGCTAGTGAACCAGCAGGTGAGGCATCTGCACGCCTGCCAGAGACCTTGCAGTGTTCAAGGACCACGTGTTCTGTTAGCTGTGGAGCTTAATCAAGACGGGTGGAATCGGCAGCAGGATGACGGAAGATGCATATGGAAGCTCAAGCTCCGTTTGGACTGGTCGATCGACGATGGGTATCGGAGTCCTCCTTATTTTGTCTGAGACGGGCTTCTGGGGTTATGAGAACTGTAAGAGAAGAGCGTTTAGGTCTGGTCAAAAGAGGTAGAGGGTATGATCGGGTGGGGATAACACCGGACACCAGACGCTGGGCGGGCACTGGGAGCGGTACCGACGCCGTGCTGATACCGGTACCGTTAATCGGCACTAGCACTTGGCTGTTCTGAGGATCTTAGAGGGTTGCCGTTCCCGGCGGGCGCTTGCTGTTCGCGAGAAAAGGGGAAAGTAAAGGGTTGGATGGAGGAGTGGGTGCTGGTGCTGTCAGTTAGATGCATGTACATGTGGGAATGGATGGGGGTTGGATTATTCTGGGATTAGGATTGGGCTTGGGTGGATAAATGTTGTTAAGGAGAAGGTCGGGGGTTGTTCGGAGCTTGAATGGAATGAGTGCAGAGTCGTGTGAGAACGAGCAGCGGGCGCTTGTCTTTGCCTGAGAATAGGAGCGCTCAGTGGCCGAGTCAAAGAGCATGATTCAGCGCGGGGGAATAAGTGAGGATGGTTCGAATGTGTCCGAGATGATGTAGTGGAAGAGGTGTGAATGTCCCGATTTACAGGGAGTGTGCTGATTTGTTTGGTTCGGTGGGGGATAACCGTACGGGGAGCGCCCGGGTTGCTGATGTGTATTCCCGGGTTGGAGGAAGGGGGGGGAGATTGGCGCCCAAGGTGAGCGCTGGCATGTGTGCCGGATGCCGAGCGGGAAGGAAGGAGAAGGAAGAGGGAGAACAAAAGGATGTGGTGAAGCGGGAACTAATTGTAGGATGACCAATGGTTGCACGTGGTTGTTGAGAGGGTGAGGCAAGGGCGTGTTAGAAGAGGGGGAACGAGGTGAGAAGAGAGTATCAATCCCCTCCATCATCGACCGATCTAACTGAAGACATATTCGATAAGCGTTGAGTGGGTGCATACATCTCCCACTCATAGCCCCCTTCTTTCCCTAAATCCGACCCACTCTCTTCCCCTTTCACTCTCTCATTCCCCCGCTGCCAGCCTACACCCAATTCCATTCCACCAGCGCCTCTCTCTCTCTCTCTCTCTCCCTCTCCTCTCTCCCCCTCTCCTCTCATAGCCGCCCGCATATCACTCTTCTCAACCGCCAGCGATATCCCTTTCACCCATTTGCACTCTCACCATCATCATCCCCTCTATATCATGGATACGCCTCATACTCCCCTTTGGGCTCACATCCATCAACCTCGTCTAGCACATCCTCAACCATCCTCAATACCTCATCAACCACCTCAAGATCCTCTCCCTCCATCTCACTCTCTCCCTCTCGCTCCTCCAACACCAGCACCTTCACCACGTCCAACCAGTCCAGAGCCTTCATCTCCCTTACTAGGCCCCTCCACTTCCTACCTCAATACCTTCCCCCTCCTCCCAACAAGGCAACAGCGGGCTTTCCTCACTTCCCTCATCCCCCTCCTCACGTCGGACCATCTCCGGCACCTAAACGCACTCATCACGCCTCTCCTCCAGCGCGACTTTCTGCGCGATCTGCCTATCGAGCTCGCGCTCCACGTTCTACGGCTCGTCGACGACCCACGCACTCTTGCCCGTGCGAGTCAGGTCTCACGCACATGGCGCGCTCTCCTCCTAGACGAACATATGTGGCGCGAGATGTGCAGGCGACACGGCTTTGACGCTCATCTATCCACCGCAGACGTCCTCAGGATCAGGCACCAGGAGCAGCAGGCAGCTTATGCACAGGAGCACATCCTCTCCCCGCGGCCTATGCCCGCTCTCACCCCTCCCCTACCTCCACATTCCCCGCCCTTCTCATACCGACGGCACTTTGTCCTCTCCTTCCTTACCGACGCGAATTGGAGACGCGGAGGACGTCTGCTCATCACCCATCCTCCGTCTCCTTCCTCCCCTCCACCAATGGCAGGCCTCGATCTAGCACCCCTCGGTGCCGTCCCGGGTATCCCTCTCCTCCCGCAACCGCACCTCTTCCAGCCTCAACCGGGGCACGTGCACGCGCACCACCACCCTCCCCAGCCAGCACCACAAACGACAGAAAACGTCGTGACCAGTCTGGCGATGGACGACGATTACATCGTTGTTGGGCTCGCGAACTGTCGTGTGCACGTGTACAACGCCCGTTCTGGTGCGCTCTTTCGCACTCTGGTGGGGCACGAGAGCGGCGTATGGTGTTTGGGGCTCGCGAGCGCTACCCCGCGGGAAGAGTTTATCAGCGGCTGGAAGAGCCCCGCTACCCCTAGTGTGGAGAAGGACAGCGAGGAGACGTGGAACGAGGAACAGAGAAGAAACATGTCCGATCCTTGTGGTGCTTCAAGAGGCTGGGGCAATCCTGGTCCCGTCGTCGTCAGCGGGGGGTGTGATAGGGATGTCCGGGTATGGGACGTCGAATCCGGGTTTGTACTGTTTTCCGGCGCATATATCTGTCTTACCCGGGTTTAGGGAGTGCAAGCATGTTCTTGGCGGGCATTCGAGCACTATCCGATGCCTCAAGCTCCTACATGATAGATCTATCGCTGTCACTGGCTCGCGGGACGGTACGCTTCGCGTGTGGGACGTCCAGCGCGGGCAGAGCATGCATGTCCTTGCCGGGCATCAGCATTCTGTGCGCTGTCTAGAGGTGTGGGGCAACCTCGTCGTCAGCGGGAGCTATGATTGTACAGCGAGGGTATGCATTCTCGTCGGATTATGAATGTATGCGTAAGCTCACACTTTCTAGCTATGGAATGTGGACACGGGCGAGTGCCTCCAGATCTACCGAGGTCACTTTCATCAGATTTACGCCGTCGCATTCGACGGCGAGAGGGTCGTCACAGGCAGTTTGGACAGCACAGTCCGTGTCTGGACAGCGAGGAATGCGTACGTCTCTCCTCCGCTTCTACCCCGCACCCCCTAACCCAAGCCAGCGAAAGCGTGCAGATGCTAACAGGGCACACGTCCCTCGTCGGTCAGCTGCAGCTCACCTCTACCCACCTAGCAACAGGCGGCTCAGACGGGCGAGTGATGCTCTACGCCCTCCCCTCGCTCGCCCCCCTCCACCGTCTGCTAGCACACGACAACTCAGTCACCTGTCTGCAGATCGACCACCGGTTCCTCGTCTCAGGGGGTAACGACGGCCGCGTAAAACTTTACGACCTCGAGACGGGCACTCTGATCCGCGAACTGACCGAACCGTGTGAAGCGATCTGGCGCGTGTCCTTTGGGAGGGAGAGGTGTGTCGTGTTGTGTAAGAGAGATGGGAGGACGGTTATGGAGGTTTTGAACTTTAGACCGGAAGAGGGAGAGCTGAATTGGTAGCATGACCTAACTAACCTTTGACGACCCGACGATTTTCGCTTATTCGATTCTTACCTTTCGCTGTTGTCGTCGTCGTCGGTTTTCTTGCCCCGCTTTGTTCTGTTTGTTGTGGAACGTTTTTATGGCACCTGTGTTGCCCCCCTTTTTCCGCTCTGCTCGATGCTCGATGCTTGTCAGTTTTGTCCCTGTTCCTGTTACTGTTCCCGTTACTGTTCCTGTTCTGTTCGTGCCTTTCCCCTGTGATCACTAACCTTCTCCCTTTCCTTCTCCATTTCTCCCTGTCCCTTATCCCTTCCCCCGATGCTCCAACTCTTACAATCAACATACACTAAACCCGCACGCTCGCACGCTCTTCGCACTGCGCACGCATCTTTATTACACTCTCAAACTCAAGCAATTCAACGTTGTTTTTATAGCTCAGCTCTAGGGTCTGTGGTTACTTCTACTGCTACTGCTACCTCTCTGTCGTCGTCTCCTTGCTTCCTTGCTTCCTCCCTGCTTCGTCGGACGTGGGATGGGGAAAGGATGGGCGACATGATAGGGTACCAGTGTGGAAACGTAGGTCTTAGACCGTAGACCATGAGTCGTAGGACGTAGGACGGAGGTGAACAGCGGAGGTGAACAGGAGGTGAACAGGATGTGAACAGGTGGAGGTGACAATACAGTGCTTCAACGCTCACCCGTTTTTGCGCGTGTTTTGCGCGTGCTCGGTACTGGGACGGGCCTGGGGGTTTAAGACCGGTACCTTGGGGAAGGTCATGTTTGGGAGACTGCGACTGACTGATGGGATAGGGGTGCTGTTCCTCCTGTGTTGACCGCTGGGGATGTTTACCCACGTGCACTTGGAAGTAAGTTTATAGGACAGATCTAGAGGGCTCCGAGTCTGGAGAGGTTATGCACCTCGCCTTTTCCCGTACTAGTACTGGCACCACGAGTCTTAGGCAACGGGAGAGTCGAAGATCACAGACAACAGACTTAAGATCGTGCCTGTACACGCAGTTCCGTACGGCTCCTTGATGAGTCGTCTAGTGTGCTGCACATCCGAATTTCGAAGTTGGATTCGACGTTCGAACGACACTCCGAACGAGGTTCGAAGGCTTACGACAATACAGTAGAGAGAAGCGGACCCTATACAGAGCGTTAGGTAATTATAGATTAGGAAACGGAGCTAGGATAGTTAGTCCGAAGTCCGAACCGCCTCTGAACATATATAGGGAGGATTTGAGTACTTTGGAAAAGGGAAATTTATTTGGTCTTCTCTTATCTCTAACCTTACCTCTTACACTACACCTTTAAGTTACAGTCAATCCTTACTCTCCCTCTCTCTAATTCAATCAATCCGAACACTCATTCATACATTTGAACTGCACTCCGAGTCTCTTGCTTTCTACCCTCCTTACCTCCCAGCCAGTCCATTCAACTCAAATGGCCTCTCTGAATGCTTGTGCCTCAGTGGGTCTTATGCTTGCATGTCTGGAGATTTGGAACTAGGATTGAGCCCTCAACATCTTTGGACTAGCTACCCCTTTCAAATGGATTTTGATTACTATGGGAACTACAACCACGGACTACTATCTACAGTAATCCTCAAGGTTAATGATGTCGTTGGTGGAAGGGAATTGTGATTGGTATTGAGGGGTGATGGCTGAGCAGAGAGATGTGGTACAGGGGGTCATCTGGAGGTCTGCTATCTACAAGAAGTCTGTGATGGATGTCTGGAGCATGTTCTCGACAACAGAGAGATGGATGGCATGGAGCATGGGTGGGCACAACTGGTATGCTTGGGCAAACTCTGGCTCTTCCCATTGCAAAAAGTAGTGGGACAATGCTCTGACTGACTCAAGTGCTTGACAATGGCTGATTACTGGCTCAACATGTGCCTCTTCCTCTTCTTCTTCTGCCTCAGACTCCTCTGGTACCTGCACCAGCTCGATGATCTCCTTGTCTGTTAGCTCCTGTGCTGTGTTCTCCTCTGCTGCAAAACTGAGCATTTCATTGACCTCCATTCTCTGTGCTTCAGGGAGGATACCATGGTCTTGAAGTTCTTGGATTGAGGTATGCAGCTGTTCCACTGCTGCACAGAGATTGTCATCATTTGCATAGTCTTCAGGCAGTGCTGCAGGTTCCTCAGTTGGTAGAAGGCAGCCATCCGGACCATGAGGAGAGACAATCCAAGTGTGATGCCAGCAGTTGGCAATTGTTTCAACTGTGACTTCCTCCCAGGCTATCCATGCCAACCCCATTGCTTCCTTCTGCTCAATGCAATAGATATCTAGCACACCTGCCATTTCCTGATCCAGTGCTCACTCACAGTGTGCTTGCTTATAGTTTGCTTTGAAGTTTCAAATGATACCTGCATCCATTGGTTGAATATGTGCAGTCATGTTGGGGGCAAGGAATTCGACTTGGACATTTGTGACAGTTGCTGGATCCCACATGTGCCCCTTGTGGTTGTTGACAAGAAGAAGGATCTTCCAGTTCTGTTGTCACATTTGGCAGTCAAGGGCTGTAATGTAGAGCTGGAAAATCACTCCAGTCATCCATGCCTTCTTGTTGAAATGATAATCAAAGCCGAGGGATTGTGGTGTCTTGCACTGAAAGCAGCAAGGCTGTTTGGAATGACCAATAACCAATGGCTTAAGCTGCTCACTGCCATCTGCATTTGTTGTCAACATGTAAGACATGCAAGTCTTATCACCTTCCTGCCAGAGCATGCCATTGTAGCAAGGGTGCAGTTTGGTGGCATTCAATAGAAGAGACCAGTCTCATCACCATTGAAGATGTCTTGAAGGGCATACTGATCGGTAATCTTCCTCAGATGCAACTCCTCCTCCTCAGCCTTCTGTCAGGGCACCAGCTCATTGCTTGGTCAAGAGACATGACTAAGCCTTTATGACA